AGGCAAGCGGGCTTGGAGCCTCTGTTCCGGCCCGCGGTCCCGGACCCGCTGGAACCTCTCCGTTCGTGCGACCCAGCGATCCTCAGCCGGTCTCCGTGAGGTCTCCTCCCCTGGATCCATGGAAGGAGGATAAACGTGACCAAGGCAGAGGCGGTGCCGCGCTGTGCCCAGGCTCCCTGGGCCTCTGAAGCCGGAAGCGCGGCATGCTTGGCCCGGCTTGGGGGGACCCTCGCTGCTCCCGCACCCGCGACTTCAGGCGGGGATGAGCCCGGCTAAGGAGCTGCCAGGTCGGGGCGCACCCGCACCTCGCACGAAGAGCCGCTCCTGGTATGAGCCCGGCTAAGGAGCTGCCAGGTCGGGGCGCACCCGCACCTCGCACGAAGAGCCGCTCCTGGGCCCGGGTCGGGCTGGGGGGCTTCTGCCCGGAGCAGCTCGCAGAGGCATCTGCTTTCACAGGCGTCGCCTGAGTGCAGCCTCGTGCCAGGCTTGTGGCCCTGGACAGCAGTGTCTGGAGAGCAACTTGTCACCCAGAAGAGAGAGCAGGAGTCCGCCACGCACCCTGCCCAGGCTGTAGAGACATCGCAGCGGCGCTGGACACTTAGGAGCGTCCCAACTGTGTGACGCCATTAAATGCTTTTGGAACACCATTTGGAGTCTTACATACATTAATAGAGCCGCATTTATGCCAGTGCAGCGGAAAATATGATTCTGGACGTATTGTAAGGCAAGAAGGCTCCCCTGAGGGCAGAAGTGCCCAGGGTCATCTGTGAGCGATGTTAAGGGATGTGGGAGGGAGCTCTATGGTGCTCTAGCCAGGCTCCCAGGTGCGGCTCCAGGTGCATCAGTTGGAGGCCAGGCCTCAAGATAAAGACAAAGCGACCGGGCCTATGTACTTCCCGAAGGGATACGAGGTAACTCAGCTGTTGCCACTTAGACCAGTTGAGCCTGATGAAGTCTAGATAGGCATCCGTCACCTCAGGAAGTGACCGAGATCCTTGGACCCATCACCTTCCTGGAAAGTTATTTGTTCTTTCCGTGTACCCTTGCTATGTTTCTTGCTCCCCCACTGGATTGCTATTACCTAAGTGATTATACTGATGACCTAATCGGTTGATCATCTTGAAACCACATTGGATCCATGTGGTTATGCTTTATAAAACTTCCCCTATAAAGTGGGGTCCTTGGCCACCTGTCCAGGACCCCTCTTGCCTCTCAGGAGCTAAAACGTCTCAATAAGTATTTCCTACTCTTAACCTCTGTTGTTCCTTAGAATTCATTCTTCAATTTTGGGGAGCATGAACTTGGCGTGTCTGACATCTAATAAGTTGGGAGTTACAATATTTCCCCTGTATCATTTGGAGGTCTGACATCATTTCTATATCACCACCATTCCTGGTTTCTACAGTGTTTGTTTTTGCATTTGGTTTTAGTTGATTGAGGATGTGTTTGACTGTCAGGCATTGCTCTAAGCATGAGTTTGTGCATTGATTAACTCTCAGGCAGACCTTGGGGGATTGTTACTTGTTCTATTTTGGCCATAGGCGGTGTCCTACAATCACCTAAGGGCACACCTCCAGGAGGATCTTCCTATAGGCCTTGCCTCATAGAGGCTCACAGAACTTTCCATTCCAACAACGATGTGGGGAGGGACCTGGGTGTGTCCAGCTGCTCCCTCTGTCTCCCTCATAAGAAATTTCAGATATACAGAAAAGTCAAAGAAACAAAGACTAGTCATAAGAATAGTATGATATCAGTATCATACTTCGATGCTAGTATGATAAGATAGTATCATATTCTCATATCATCTTTATCTGGCTCTACTGACCAATAGTATTTTGGCAAAATTGGCTGTGTGTTTTTTTCTGAATGCATTGAGGATTTTGCTGGTAACATGCTGTCATCTAAGAACACCAACACAATGCAGATTTCACACGCAAGAAATTTATTATGCTAATATTATATATAGTCCATATCTAAATCTTGTCACTATCCCCAAAAAGTCTTTTACAAGGCTTTTTTAAAAAAAATCTAGAATTTATTCACTGAGTACATGCTGTAAAATTTATTGGCTTTCTGCTCTTTTAGGAGTCTTTTAGGAGGAGACGATGGTGGTTGCTAGGGTCATGGCAGCCAGGAGAGCGGCTGATGGCCACAGCAGATGCTTCTTCCAATGAGGGACTGTCTGATTTGGTGGCAAGCTCAGTACTGGCCTACCGCGTGCCTGCTGTCCTGTGACCTTGGATCCTGGCCCCAGGGAGCGACTGGGCTTGTGGATGAGCCGTGAGGCGGCTGCCAAGAACCAAGCAAGTGCCGCAGCAGGAAGCCTTGTGGGGACGACAGTGGGGGTGACCCCAAGGGAGGGGTGGCCAGGCCCCCAGCATGGGGCGAGTGGGGCTGGGATGGGGCGGGGTTGGGCTGGTGTCTCTGCTCCCTGCTTTGCCTGTATCCAGCTATGTGGTTGTGTGGGGCTGCGGGGCAGAGCCCGGGGCAAGTCCACAGGGTCCTGCCGTGGGGCCCTGGCTGCAGCTGTGCTCTGGAGCACGGCTGTGTACGGAGCAGGCTGCAGGCCCTCCTCCATCTCCCTTCCTCCACAGCCTCCTCCTTGGCTCGTCACTAAGTACTTTTAGGTCACTTGTCCCACTGTGAGCTCCTGTTAACCCTGTCATTTTGTCATTTCCCTGGGACAGTGACAGAGACGACAACTCTCAGAGATCTGGGGTCCTCCACAGGCTCACAGCCAAAGGCAGCACTGCCACTTGATTCACCTCGCCGCTGTGAGCTCTTCCTGAGGGGTTGAGGTAGCCCTGCTGCTGGCAGCACCCAGCGCTCCAGCCTACCCCTGTGTAGCAGCTTCATCCCCAAAGGCGGAAGCCCAGCTATGCCCCAGCTCCACAGTGCATCGTGAGCAGGACACCCAGCAGGTACACGCATCGCGCCTTGTGGGCCAGCTTCAGACCCATCCCCAGCATGCTCGGCTCCCCCAAGACCCCAGCTGGTGGGGCTCAGATTCCCACGAGCACCTCCCATCCCCAGCATGCTCGGCTCCCCCAAGACCCCAGCTGGTGGGGCTCAGATTCCCACGAGCACGCCAGGTCCTGGCTTTGCCCCCCGTGGAGGACCTGATCTCCATCACGGACATCCTGATGCAGCTCTGTGCCCCGCACAAAGCCTTGTACTTGTTTTCGGACTGGCCTGGGCTGGGCCTGTGGATACTTTGTGGAGCTGTCGGGACAGCTACCTCCCTGGAGAGGACTCCAGCCTCTCACTAGAGGCCATGGATCACCACAGGAACACAGATGATAGGTGTTCTGCCACACTCAGGACGGCACAGGACACACACCCACTCCCCCGGGAATATGGCACCCGTGCTGGTCCCCAGGCCTTGCCGGAACTGTTTTCTATTTAACCCCACCTGAACTTCCACGAAAGAACACCTGGCACTGTCTGGCCGGCTCTCCTTTCCATGCTGTGCCTTGAACCCTAGGATTCAGACCTATGTCAGTCTCAGGAGTTGAGGTCTCCAGGCAAGGGCCCTTTATGGAGGGGAAGCTATGGATGGCTCCCAGTCGTGCTTCTGAGCTGAGCACACACACACACACACACACACACACACACACACACACACACACACACACACGCACACACACTCTTCTCCCCAGGTCTTTCTTCACCTCTGAAGGAGGAATGAAGGTCTTGGAAATTGTGTCCTGTGGGTCACTGGGGCTCCGGGCCTGCAGCCTCGTGGCAGGCCTGGCCTGTTTGAGCTTTCTGGTTTATAGGGCCTAATAGGTCCTACTTATTAAGCCCAAACCAGCATGAGTCACTTTCCCGATAACCTCAGCTGTTACCTCCCAGTTTCCAACTCAGGTGGGTCTGAGTCATCTCCACCATCCTCTTCGCTGCCTTCCCATGTTGCTCTTGGCGCTGTATTGGACTCTACTGAGGCACTAGCACCTGCACAATGTGAGGTGCATTGCAAAAATAAAATGGTCCGGCTGCGCGCAGACTGTAGCTGGCTTGTGCTCCGTGGGGTGGCACTTGCCTGTGGGCCTCGTGTGGGCTGAATATGGGGGTCACCCTCACTAGGGTGGCCGCCAGCTGGACCCATGAACCTACTGTCTGAGGGGCCTTACTCTTGGCCCGGCTGTGTCCAGGACCATGTGTTTAGGCCCCAGGTAGTGGTTGCAGAATGGTCACTGACTGGGGGCTCAGAGCACACACTGGACTCGGCTTAGAGTTCTGCTTTGAGGCCTGCATGAGCTGTCTTCCTGTATGGGTCTTCTTACCCACTCCCTAAATACCGAGTTCTCTGGAGGCCGTTCTAGGGTGATTGCCCGGGGACCCTCTGGAGGTTGGAGCTGGGGCCCGGGCTGGAATGTTTAGGGATCAAGAAGGTGGGACTCTAGGTGATTTTGACTCACAGGGAAGGTTTGGCTTTAACCCAAGGGGATTCGCAGGAAGTAGGAGGCAGAGATCGGTGGTCACTGGGTCAGTGTGTAAGTGACTCTGGGGAGGGACGGTGACCGAGCAGGAAACATGAGAGACCGGATCATCGGTCATCACCAAAGGCGATGGAGGAGGTGGAGGGTTGCAGGTCCACAGGGAGGGGTGGGCGCCAGTGCAGGGTCTCGGACCGGGTGGGCTGCCCCTGGGGAATGGCAGGGGGGAGCTTGAGCCAGCAAGGTCACCGGTCTCCAGTGACCCTGGAAGTGGAAGGAGAACGTGGAGGTCGGATTTGTGTGAGGGAGCAGGGTGGGATCGGTCTGTGCACCGCAGGAGGATAGGAAGAGTTTGGAGCTGCCCAGCCCCGGAGGCCTGGGAATCCGGGGCAGGTCAGAGGCGGACAAGTGCAGGCCTGGCAGATGGATGACAGGAAAGGTCCTCTCTTTGCCTCTGCTTGTGCTTGAGCATGAGTCCCTGGACCCCTAAACTGCACGTCCCACCTCAGCTGAGTCCTGCAGGAAAAGACCCCTCTTGGGAATCTCTATGCTTATGTACGCTTTGTGGTTTATTGGTTGGTCAGTAATTAAGATCTTTGCTCCGAAGTGGAAGAAAGCTAACAGAACATAGCCAAAATGACGATCGACAGATTTTACTGCTCCTGACACCTGTGCCTCCTTCGACCCCCGCCCGCCTACTTGGTTCACAGAGCGCGATCTGACGCACACCTTCCTCCCCATTCCAGGGCCCCCGGAACGCCTAGACGTTCGCCTTCCGCATCTCAGCTCCAGGGAGATGATGCTCTTCACCTCTGGAGGTCTCGGCCAGCCTGTCCTCCATCCTGTCTTCATTTTGGGGCCGGAGGTGGGTTTCGGCCCCCGGTTTGTAGTTGGCCTTGTGCTCAGGCCTCGAGCTCGGCCTGGGGTCCAGTTTGTCCTCAGCCCGATACTTGCCCTCTCCATCCCTCTTGAGCGAAGCAGAAGACATGGCTTTGGGCTTGGGGGGCTGCAGCCACGCGTGACTGAGGATCTCATCGATGTGCAGCCGCCGGTTGACATCCGGCTGCAGGATGCGACGGACGAGGTCCTTGCACTCACCAGACAGGTTCTTGGAGCGGGGGAAGTCCACGCGGTGCTCCTTCTGGGTACGCAGCATCCTTTTGATGTTGGAGTCGTCGTAGGGCATGCAGCCACAGACCATGATGTAGAGGATCACACCCAGGCTCCAGATGTCGTACACCTTGGGCTGGTAGGGGATGCCCTGCAGCACCTCGGGGGCGGCGTACGCTGCAGATCCGCAGAAGGTCTTGCTGAGGAGGATGCGCCCGCACCCGTCCCGCAGGCAGCGCTTGGAGAATCCGAAGTCGGACAACTTGACGTTGAAGTCCTTGTCCAGGAGAAGGTTCTCGCACTTCAGGTCTCTGTGGACGATGTCCAAGTCGTGGCAGTACTTGACGGCTGAGGAGAGCTGGCGGAACATCCTCCGCGCCACGTCCTCGCCCAGGGCCCCCCGACATTTTACGAACTCGAGGAGGTCTCCCTGGACGCCGAGCTCCATGACGATGTAAATGCGTCCTTCAGAGGTCTCAAAAATCTCATAGGTCTTGATGATGGAGCGGTGGTTGACGGTTGCTAAGATGTCCATCTCCCGAGGGAGGAATCTCTCCGCGAAGTCGGTGGGCGTTTTCTTGCGGTCGATGATCTTGACCGCCACGTTGAACTTGAGGCGCTCTGAGTAGGCAGACTTGACTTTTGCATAGGAACCCTTGCCCAGATTGATTCCCGCAACATAACCCTTCTTTTTTAGGACTGCGGCATCGTCCATGGTGCCAGGAACGGCTGGCGGCGCCGCCCTCTACACCCCCTCCCCACGCCAGCCGGCCGGAATTGTCTTCATTTTTCCTCTATGGGGAGCCCTCTGGCCAGCCTGGGCCTGGGCCTGGGGCAGCAGAACGCTTAGCATTGTCCCCAGGTGACTTCAGCAAATGAAGTCATAAAGCCAGGATTCCGGGCGTGGGAGGTGGGCCGGGGGTGCAGGACTCCTGGACTCCCAGAAGCCAGGCTGGCCGAAGAGGAGCACCCGTTTCCAAGCCCACTGGGAGGAAGCCTGCCCCTAAGACCATGGTCATGCGTGCTGCTGCCCTCTCTGGCTGAGGCTTCCCTGCACTCCTCAGGCCTGAGGGGAGGGGCCCTGAGCCGACCGGTGTCAGCGCCGTGCTCGTTTCCCGCGTTCGGCGTCCCTCACACGGGTCCTTCTCCCACAGGGGCCAGTGTCCTGCAGCGTCCTGACTGTGTGAAGCGAAGCTCCGGCCGAGGTGCTGCCTCTGAGCTAGTCCAGCCGAGCCAGCCGTGTTTCCGAGCCTGGCGCACGAAAGCAGTTCCATGCCTTTTCCTTGACCTGGGGCAGGGCAGAAGAGATGCTGCTGCTGCCTCTTTGGTGAGTGGGAGAATTTGTGGGGGTGGGAAAACGAGCAGCCCTGAGGATGCCCCAAGAGCGTGGGCCTGGGCACCAGGACAAGCAGATGCACACTCCAAGGAGTAGGACTGGTCTGGACGATGGGTAGGGCTCTGACCAGACGGAGCAGATACGGAGGCACATAGATAGGAAAGAACTTCTGAGAATGGTTGAGAAATAGAAATCAAGAGGGAAAGGCTGTGGGTTTTTTCTTTAGATGACAGGCAACCATTGTACGATCCAATTTTAAGATGGCAACTGGCTGCAAGAGGATAATTGGCTTGGGGCGACCGTAGTGATCAGAGCCTTGGGGCAGGTCCAAAGAGGCTGGGCAAAGGAGGATGCCTAAGAGACAGGAGAAGCTGGAACAGGGACAGCCTGGATGTGGTCGGTGAGTGGAGAGGCTGTGTCCAGGGCCTTGGTGTGGTGAGGAATCCTGGGGCTGCAAGCACTCGGCAAGCTTCTGGGTAGGGAGAAAGGGCCAGAATCTTCCCACTGTGGACGTTGGAGAGGTGTGGCAGGGTCGCCTATTGGAACTCTGACTTAAATGTCATTTGAGTCTCAGCTGTATTTGGTACCCAGTGCACGGATTTTTACTTTGGAAAATGGCATCCCCCTTAGCTACTTTGCAAACTCTGATATCCATTTGTCGTGTGTCGCAGGCACACTTTGCCCCGAGGGAGGTGTCCAGATAGGGTGAACCAGGGGTGCCGTGGTCCTGGGGAGAGCAGGAATGCCTGTTTCTATATGGGGGCGGTGGGGTGGTAGGTTTCAAAAAGTAATGTAGGATCAGCAGGGCTCCAGCCAGACAGGCGTGTATCTTTGGCCAAGGCACCATGGTGGGGACGTACCTGGAACAGGTAGGATGTGTCTTGTGTGTGCAAGCCAGAGTCAGCATGCCAGGCCAAGACAGGACGGGAAGGGTGAACGTTGAGCCCACAGTGAGCACCTTCTAGCAGCACCAGCCTCGCAAGTCTCACCTGGGCTGTGTAGAGCGCTGCTGGTTAATAGATTGAGCTCGGTGCATTCCTTTCTCCTGGGGACTTAATTTTTCCAAAGTGACCAGAACTTCCCTCCTTGTGTCCAAGCAGAGGCTAAGATTCGCAGGCCAGGACCCGGAAGCATCACATCTGTCCTCTCCTGCATCCCCTGCAGTCCCAGTGCTCCCTCTGGTGCACCCTTCTGAGTATCAGCCTTCTCAGCTGACCCTGACAACTCAGCCTCCCCTTGTGTGCATTCTGCTCTATTGGGCCCTGCCTTTGCCCGGGACAGTCTGTTCTCTCCGGTTCTTAGGAGACATGCCAGAGCAGGCAGGTATCAGCCTGGCATAAGCCCAGAACTTCCGGGCATTGTGTAAGTGGCTTCATCCACCACTCTGTGAGCCTGGGGAGTGGGCACGGTCTGCCGAGGGCAAGTTCACGACACGATATGATTACGGCGCACATATGGATGAGGACCCGGGGTGAGGGGCAGCAGAGGAAGGATGAGTCAACAGGGCCAGGCCAGGCCCGGGAGGCCCTTCCGGTATGAGAGAGCTTCCTACTGGGGTGGGAGCCAGACTGGGTTTAGGAGGTGGGTCTGACTGCTGTGGGAGGCAGTGGGGAGGATAACGGGCTGTGTGGTGAGGGAGGTGGACTGGATGTGGAAAGAGGTATAGGAGCTTGACGGACTCTCCTTCTCTCAGAGGTCTGGGGGTTGGGGTCTTTCCAAGGTGGGTACAGGCTGGGCAACAAGGTACGTTGAAATGCTTTTGTTTTGTGTGCATTAAACCTTCAAGACCCCCCCAGGTTGTCCAGATTAAGGTGGAGAGAAAGGGGCTGCCGGGAACATGGCACAGGCAGCCGCAGCACATGGCAACCAGTGGTGCTGCTTAGATCTTCAGCTCCAAATGCAGCCAGAACCAAATCTCCCAGTGTGCGAGTCTCTGGCCTCCCCTGCTGCAACAGCTGTCCCAGCCTCTCTGACTGCTGCAGCGGCTTCAGCCAGGGCCTGAGCTAACAGTCTGGGCTGGCTGAGCACCCTGGGATGGGTTTTCCCATGAGTGAGAAGCAAGAGGGAACCCAGAACTGCAGTCACCTGGGCAAAACGTTCATCTTGGTGTCCGAACTAATGCACAGCACTGAGACTGCTTGTTTAGCGGTGTGCGTTGGGAAGCCAGAGAGCCCGGGACTGAAGTCAGCTGGAAAAAGACATGAATCGATGATTTATTGTTCATTATGAAGTTCAAAGGGTGGAACAAGAAACCAACAAAAAGAATCCAGCACTGTCTTTCTTCTCTGGCTTATCCTTTGATTTCTCTGCTTTGTTCCCTGAGGCCTCCTGCCTTATTACTAGCTGTGCATTTCTGGAGACTGCTGACGGTGGTGAGGAGCCGCCTCTGTTTCCCTGGTCGGCTTCAGGCTGCGCTTCTTGCTCGGTAGGAGACCTCCTCTCAGAGCCGAGCTCCAGAGTTTCTGAAGACCAGGCCTGGGGAGCTCTCCAACTCCTTGTTTTTTGTTTTATTTGTTCCCCAGTATCAGAAATCGAACTCTGGACCTTGTACTTTCCAGGCAAGCACAGCGCCACTGAGCTACATCCCTAGACCTCCAACTCCTTGCTGATAGCTACAGAACACAGACTGTACCTTGGGCTGCACCCACCAGTGGCTGGGGACCTCTTTACTGTGTAGCTGCTAGTTGACATCGGATGGTAGCACGTGGTAGATGAGGTCCTGGCACCCACTGGTCAGGTACTTAAGACACAGGAAGTTGTCCTAATGCTCCTTTTGTGGGCGCGGCATTTTCATGAAGTTGGAGCTGTCATAGGGCTTGGAACCACAGTCCCTCGTGTCTTAGAGGACCAGGATTAGGCTCTTGACGTCAGATGGGTAGGTTCAGTGTTACTGGATGGAGGGTCTCGCCGGGACTTCTTTCCAAGCTCTTGCTGTCCTGAACAAAGAGTTGGACAGAACACACATAAAAGGCAGTGAAAGTCTACATTTATTTATTTATTTGGTGCCAGGGTTGGAACTCAGGACCTTGCGCTTACCGGGCAAGTGCTGTTACCTCTGAGCGACATCCCAGGCCCCAAGTGTACATTTATTGAAGGCAGAAAATAAGTCAGCTCTGCAAAGTGAGAGTAAGCCAATGAAAAGGCTCAAAGTGGCCTTATCATTAAAGGGAAAGAAATCTTTTGTATCTAAATTCCTGAATTATCTTTCAGGCATAAGGCCTTGGGAAAGTTGTCCTGTCAAACACTCAATCATACCAGGTATAAACTGGCCTGTCAAAAAATTCATGTGTGGGCTGGGGATTTGGCTCAGTGGTTCTGGTGCCTGCCTCTAAGCACAAGGGCCCAAGTTCGATCCCTGGTACCAAAAAAAAAAAAAAAAAAAAAAAAAAAACACAAAACATATTTGGTCTCCACGCGGTTTTTGAAAAAAAAAAAAAAAAAAAAAAAAAAAAAAACCCAAAACTCATTTGGCTTCCTGTCACGTGTAAATGAAGGATCAGGAACAGAGTCTTTTGGTTGGTTGTGCCCATGTGCACAATGATTAGAAAAGAACAGCTCTGGTTGGTCTTGTGAACAGTAGCACCAGATGCAAATGAAAGACTGAAGACAGCAGGTTTCTGATTGGTCCGAAATAGCCCTTTTTTTATTGGTTCTATGAACAGTGAAGGTGGCATCACTGCATTGGGAGCACAGCCCCTCAGGGGATGAGTAACGCCACTGACCCGCCAAGATCTGGCTAACTTCCGATGGCCGCAGGCAGCACTTGGAGAAGCTGAAACCAGATAGCATGATGTTGACAGTGTCCTTGTCCAGGAGGAGGGGCGTGGGCTTGAGGTCTCTGTGGAGATGGATGACTTAGGGCAGTGCTCGACTGCCGAGGACAGCTGATACAGCTTCCTGAAAGCATCTTTCTCTTTCAGGGCTCCTCCGGGGCTTTAATGAATTCAAGGAAGTTGCCCTCCACCCTGAGTTCCATCCCGATGCAGACCTTGTGTGATATCTCAAAGATCTTGGTTTTGTTGATGGAAGGGTGCTTCTTCCTCAGGGGCTTTTTGGTGGTTGATTATCTTGACCACTGTGCTAACCATTAGGTACTCAAACTATGCGCATTTGACTTTCCCCTTACAAGCCCTCTCCCTGGTTCTACCCACGGTACAGCCTCTTTGTTTCAGGACATCCATTCCATGTAAGGTGCTAGTGCCCAGTGCCGCTGAAGCTGCCACCAAAATCTCTGCCTGGGACTGAAGGCAGGAGGGTGCCGGACTGCATGTGGAGCAGGGGCTGATGACTAAACCAGGTTGTCCCGGGGAATCCGGGGCAGGTGGCCCTGTAAGTCAGGGTACCAGCAAGAAACAGAAGACTGATTTAGGATACTCTCAAGAGGGCTTATTATAGGGATCATTTACCAAAGTGGGGAGCAGGGCGAGGGAACCCCAAGGGTAGTGCCGGTGTCCTAAGTAGCGACAGACCCCTGGGCTACGTGGAAGAGGGAGGTAACGGTGGCATGGAAAGAACTACCCTGAGGGGGCGACTCTGGGAGAAGGCAAGGGTGTAGGATGCAGGACTCCCCGGGTTTTGATGAATTCGAGGAGGGCAGCGCTACAGGCCAGTGGCAGGAGGACATCCGCCATCTCCTTTCCTTCCTTCCCTTCTGCTGCTGATGCTGTGCACGCGGGCAGCCTGCAGGGGCCCAGAGCAGGGCTGAGAAGGGTGCGGTTGGGTCAGCAGGAGCGAGGGCTCCCAGCGCACGCATCACTGCCCCTTCTCCCTGGTGGTTTGCGGGGCTTCTCCATCTCCCTATTCTTCGCTCTCCCAGCCTGAACCTTTGCTGGCCTGCTTCTCTTACGTGGCTCTGCAGCGGGGTGCCTGGCAGGAGTTGTGCCCCAGTGAGTTCCCTCTTAGGGACCTTCCCAGGCCCTGGGCCCCGCTGCACTCCCAGGGATGCGGGACGGAAGGCTGCGTCCAGATCCCACGCTGAGCGTGGGCCGCTG